GCACAGATATTCATGCATGCAAGCAAAACACCTAACACCTATGCACACACAATAGAAATAAATGAAACCTCAAAATGACTTTTTTAAGGTGCATACCAGTAATCCCAGCGCTCAGGAGGTACAGGCAGGAGGACGCGAATTTCGAAGTCCCTCTCAGCTACATACTAGTTAGAGTCACGTCTAAATTACATGAAAGCTATCTCAGAGCAAAGGGAAGGAAGGAGAGCGACTCCCTGGGGTTCTAGCTAAACTGCAAGGATTCAGATTCATCAGGGCCTCCGCTCTGCTTCATAGTGACCCCGACTAAGACACTTGCCCACAGCAGAGTGAGGAATTTAAGAAGTCATATAGCAAATCCAGGCTAAATCTGCTACCGACGATGAGGTAAAATCTCCATGGGGCCGGGCGGTGGTGGCGCACGCCTTTAATCCCAGCACTCGGGAGGCAGAGCCAGGCGGATCTCTGTGAGTTCGAGGCCAGCCTGGGCTACCAAGTGAGTTCCAGGAAAGGCGCAAAGCTACACAGAGAAACCCTGTCTCGAAAAACCAAAAAAAAAAAAAAAAAAAATCTCCATGGGTGGCCCCTGCACCTTCCCTCACCACCACCCCACCCAGTCCCACCCCCACCCCCACCCCCACCCCAGCAAAGCCTTCTATTAAGTGTAATAGTGCATGGCTGTGGTCCTCCCTCAGCAAGCCGAGGCAAAGGGTGACTTGAGCTCAGCAATTCAAGATCAACCTGGTCGACCACATCTGGAAACCCTGCCTCCAAAAAAGGAAGATCTGGGAGGCCCACCAAGTCGCACCTTTGGTTGATTTCAAACCTCCAGAGATAATCACCCACCCACTTGTGGGTTCTGTTCTTATTATCTTGTTCCGGTGACAGTGAGGACAAGATTATTCTGTGAGGGTTGAGGTTATCTGTTTTCATCCAGCTCTTAGGAGTTCATTTACCTTGTGAAAAGAAATCACCCTGACATTGAATCTATTCATCTCAGCTATCCCATCTGCTCAGTCAATTTTGAAAAAAAAAAAAAAAAACAACCCTGTACCCAAAATGGGGATAAATCTGTCTTCAGCACCAAGAATTCACTGCAGAAGGGGCCCCGTGGGGAGGGTTGTCTGTGACCCTTCTCTCTGATCTCTCTGGAAAACATTCACACATCAGGCCCATTTGCCAGCTTTGCTGCTGGTTTCCAACACCAAGGTTCGGCTGAATAGCTCCAGGCTAGACCTGCAGTGATTGTAGGGAGGTGGACCCCTCCACACTAAGAGTTGAGGGAGAAAGAAATCACCTGGGGCGGGGGGCAATCATTTTGTTTCCATTTCCCATGGGACACAGCTGCCCTGGAGCAAGGAGTCAGCCCCCAAGACTTGAGGGTGACCTTAAACACATCCTCCTTGCCTCCACCTCCCTGTCTCCACTGCAAATGCCCATCTCAAGCCATAGGTTACTTCAGCTAGGCTATAAATCAAGGATCCCACCATCTCCTCCTACGGTTGAAAAAAAACTTTGCTCAGGTGACTCATATAACTTTGGAAGATAATCACACTCACTGGTTTGTTACCAAGGATGCAAAGGGAGATTAGGATAAAGAGATGTATAGAGCAATCTGTAGAAGAGCAGGGGCGCATCCATGCTGTCTTCAGGCAGCCTACTCCCCAGTAACATCTATCCATTTCCTCACTATCCAGAAAGTCACTGACCCCCATCATTTGTTTTGTTTGTTTCTTTGGCTAGTTGATTGGTTAGTGAGCCGGTTGGTTTTGTTTTTCTGAAGGAGGGTCTCATGTAGTCCAGGATGGCCTCAAACTCCCTACACAAGCCTTCGCCTCCCAAGTGCCGAGATCTCGGACACACATCACCACACCTGTTCCCGGCAGAACTCTTTCCATTTGGCTTTGCCTGTGACTTACTGACTCAGGAATTAGGGAGTAAAGCGGACATTGGTGACCAGTCCCCCCTCCCCCTCCCCACCCCCAGAAATTGAATCGTGGACCTGGAAAGTGCCAATCCGCTGACCCTGCATTGCTCTCTCCCATGAACAGCCCTTATTCTGAAGCTGCCGAGAATCAACCAGACATCAGCTCAGTCCCATACAAAAGGGCACTGTTTGGTCAAAGTTGAGTATAGCCCAGCAATAGAACACTGGCCTGACATGCATGAGATCTAGGGATTTTTCCCCAGCACTGAGAGCAGTATTACTACTTCAGAGATGCCAAAGGTTTTTAGAAATTGTACTTGAGGCTGGGCTGGGTGGCGAATTCCTGAAATCCCAAGCCTGGGGAGCCTGGCGCAGGAGGATCTTCAGTCGGGAGCCAGCCAGAGCTATACGGACAAGACCTGTCATCAAGCCTGACAAGGCTGGGTTCCATCCCAGAACCCACAGGGCAAGAAAGAGACAGCCACTGCCCAAAAGTGGTCCTCCAGCCTCCACATCCATGAAAATCCATACACAGTAAATCGATCAATAAATGTAAAAATATTATTTCAAATAGATGTGTGGTGGTATTGTGTTCCCGAAATATCGTGCACCCTAATATACTCATCTGGGGTCAGAGACAGAACAACCACAATATTAAACATAGAGGATAGGCAGACACACCTTTAATCCTAGCATTCCAGAGGCAGAAATCCATGTGTTCAAGGATACAGCCAAACATGGTGACTCACGCCTTTAATCCCAGAAGTGAACCTTTAATCCCAGGGAGTGATGGCAGATAGCAGAAAGGTATATAAGGCGTGAAGACAGAACTAGAGGCATTTGGGCTGGTTAAGCTTTCAGGCTTCTAACAGCAGTTCAGCTGAGATTCATTCTGGATGAGGACTCAGAAGCTTCCAGTCTGAGGAAACAGGACCAGCTGAGGAACTGGCGAGGTGAGGTAGCTGTGGCTTGTTCTGCTTCCCTGATCTTCCAGCATTCACCCCAATAACTGGCGTCAGGTTTGATTTTATTAATAAGAACTTTTAAGATTCATGCTACATAAATGTAATTGTATTTGATGGGGTTTGGGGGGGAAGGGCTTGTTGTTGTTTTGGGGTTTTGGTTGGTTGGTTTTTCAAGACAAGGTCTCTCTGTGTAGCCCTGGCTGTCCTGGAACTCACTCTGTAGAATAGGCTGACCTCGAACTCAGAGATCGGCCTGCCTCTGCCACCCAAGGACTGGGATTAAAGGTGTGTGCCACCACCGCCAGCTGTATTTGGGTTTTTTTTTTGGTTTGTTTTGGTTTGGTTTGGTTTTTTGGATTTTTTTTAAGTACTCAGCACACACCAGCAAGTGATTATTGTGGAAATGATTAAATGAACAACTAAATGTAACCTAAGCTTCTTCTGCCCCTCTCTCTAGTTCCCTCCACCTCCCAGTTTTATGTTCTCATCCTTGAATTTCAATCCACCCATCAGTCACCTAAAGCTGAGAGAACATGACCGAACATTATTTTTCAGTAAAGTGTATTTCATTGTATAAAAATCTCACTTGAGCCAAATTTTAAATCTGAATCTGATTGGATTAAGAAGAGACAGGTGGAGAGTGAGAGAGGAGGTGGCATCACCCATAAAAAGCCCTTGGAGGTGGGTACCACTCGAGAATTCAGCTGGGAGCCAGAGAGAGAGGAGCAGAGAAGAGGTGAGTCCAATCAGGCCATTTCTTCTTCAGTTCTCAGCTCCCTGCCAGGGGCAGAGGAAAAAGTTCTCAGTGAGGTGATTTAGGACCCTGCATGTGCTGTCTGAGGCTAGCCCATGCCAGACAGTGAGTTCATGTAGGGTCACAGAGCTCCCTACTCAAGCAGCAGAGAGTGGGACAGAGCCTTTCAACACCCAGCCTGGAGAAGGGAAGAAGTCTTCATTCTCAGAGTCCAACCGGTGCTTGACCAACTGTCCAAGGTGGGAGATGTATCACTCCCATTGGCTCATCCAATATCCGGGTGGGACAAGGGAGCTGGAAAGTTCCTGGGTCAAGGCCAGCACCATCTGATAGAAATAGAACATGACCCACCTACATAATGACACACTTTCTAATTATTAAGGTAGAGAAAGTAAAATAACTTATTGGAATAAATTGACATATCAAAAAATTAAGGAATTGGAGAGCTAGCTCAGAGGTTAAGAGCACTGGCTGCTCTTACAGAGGAACTAGATTCCCTTCACGGCACCCACATGGTAGCTCACAACTATCTGTAACTCCAGCTCCAGGGGATCTGACACCTCTGGCCTCCATGGGCACCAGCACTCATGTGCACATGCCCACATGTAGATACAACTATACATAAGTAAAAATAATAAAAGTAAATCTCAGTGTGTGTGTGTGTATACATATATATATATATGTATGTATACATACACAATGTGTCATTAGTTTAACAGTGTTAATGAAATAGCTTGTGTTCTTCTTCTCATATCTTTCAAACTGAGTGTGTGTTTTTTACTCACAGCACATTGCAATTCAGATAAGCCCCCACAGGACCAGTGAGATGGCTCAGTGGGTAAAGGGACTTGCCACCAAGCCTAACAACCGGAGTTCGGTCCCCAGGCCCCACAGGGTGGAGGGAGAAAGCTGACTCTGCATGTTGTCATTTGTCTTTCTCACACACACACACACACACACACACACACACACACACACACCACGGCGCACACACCTCCCCACACATACACACACACCAATCAACATTAAAGTACTAAAGACAGATACACCCCTTTTCAGGTGCTCCAGGACTGCCGCACTAGGCAACCTAGATACAGACCCTTCCACCCTTCCAATTGAAAGCTCAGAAAGGAATCCTGTCTTTCTTTCCGGCTACCATTTCAATGATCAGAAGTTCAAAGGTGTAAGTCAGTTATATCTGTGCTTTGGGGCTTTTTGTCTTTAGAACCTATTACTAATGACTGTGACAGTCCTGTCATCCCTGTGCGTGCAGAGATGGCAGTCTCTCAAGATCTAGCAGTCACTCAACTCATGAAAATGCCCATATTGTGTACGTCTTTCCCTTCAGGCACCGACCATGGCTCATTTCTTCAAAGAGAGCAGTGCTTGTCCCTTCTGCCAGCGTTATCTGGAAAGACCGATGAATTTGAAATGCGGATACATCTGCTGCCTCCGGTGCATTGACTCACTAGAGAAGAGTCCCAAGACGGGGGCCATACGGTGCCCCAATTGCTCCGTTGTCTCTTTGAAGGAAGACATTCTACCTGCTTTGCTGCTGGGTCGCCTGACTGCCAAGATAAAAGAGCTAGAGCCACAGCTGAATCATATTCTAAAAATGAACCCCAGGATGAAGATATTTCAAGGTAAGAACTCTTACAAACATCTCCAGATCCATAAGGCACTCTGGGGAAATCAACTTTCCAACGTCTCCCTGTTAAGTTTTGAACATTAGCTAAAGCCCAAAACACAGCAATTCCCACTTCTCTGAGTATAGATTAAAACTAAGTGGGAAATTTTTCTGCCTCTGCCTCCCAAGTGTTGAGAATAAATAGTGTGCACTATCACACCCCACCCACCTACAAGTTTTGTATATGTATTTATGAGTGTTTTCCTGCATGTATGTATATCTGTTCACCACATGCATACACCTGGGTGTGCATGGGTCCAGAGAGGGCATTGGATCCCCTGAAACTGGAGTTGCAAGTGATTGTGAGATGTCAAAACTAAATCTGGGTCCTCCAAAAGAGCAACAGTTCTGTCTGTCTTGGAACTCACTCTGTAGACCAGGCTGGCCCCGAACTCACAGAGATCCACCTGCCTCTGGCTCCAGAGTGCTGGGATTAAAGGTGTGCGCCACCACCTCCCGGTCCCTCCTGAAAAATGTTAAGAACATAGAATATTTATATCATGCCCTAGCCCTCTACTATCCAGTATGGTAGCTACTGGTAGTTGTTGAACATTTGAAATGAGGCCTGTATAATAATAATGTGATTGTATAATCACATTACTAATTGATCATATTGCTTTTTAGTCTTATTTTCAATTAAATTTACTGTGTGTGTATGTGGGTGCTCGGATGCCTCAGACTGTGCCTGTGGAGGTTAGGGGACAACTTGTGAGAGAGCCAAGTCTCTCCTTCCACCATGAGGGTCCCTGGGCTTGAACTCAGAATATCCAGTCTACAGGGCAAGCAAGTTTTTACTTGCCAAGCCGTGTTGGTTGCAAGCCCTCATAGTACTTTTGATGTATTTACGAGAAATATCTAAAATGTGTGCGGACCTTGAGTCCATTTTGACAACACCAGCCCAGAAGTTAGCTTTTCATATTCGATCATGTGTAAGTTACCTAACAGTCCAGTTCGAGGCAAATTTTTGATTCTGTAGCACCAGGTTTTCCTGAGATTGTTGATTCAGACACAATCTGAGCAGTGCTGATACTGCTGACTCACAATCCACATGTGGATTAGCAGAAGCCCAAGTCAGGATATACGGCCCCTGTCTGACAGCGAGACCCGGGATCTGAAGTGTTCAAAAGTCCCCAGGTGACGGTGATGTACAGAGAGCTTAGGCGACCATTGAGATGGATTAAATTATCCTGGCGCTCAGGGCCCCCACGTGAGTGGCGAAAGCCGGCTGATGGTTGTTTGAGGAGATTTACCAGTAGGTGTAGTTACACGGGGAATCCAGACCCCACGTCTGCACTATGTGCTCTCTACTCAGGGCTGCTGCAGAAAACAGTGCCTGGGTCCACTTCACAAGTTAGCTCGGCATTATTGGTGTGCTCAGTTTTATACCACGCTTAAATATTTTATCCACTCCTGTGTGTGTGTGTGTGTGTGTGTGTGTGTGTGTGTGTGTGTGTGTGAGTGTGTGTGTGTGTGTGTGTAGGTCAGAGGACTCCAAGAATCACTTTGTGGCATCCTTTCTCTCCTCTCCTCTTTATGTGTGTTTGTATGTTCTGGGAATCAAACCCGGGTCGCCAGGCTTGCAAGGCAAGGGCCTTTACCCACTAATCCATCTCACCATCTCCTATTATCACATTTATTCTGCATTGCTGTTATGATATGTCTTAGAGGAAGGTATGCAACGAAAATGGATTATCGTAGCCAGTGGTATATATAATGGGCTGAAGTCAGGAGGCCAGTCTAGACTTACTACTGGATTCCTGAACCCTAGGCTTATTGAAATGTACACAGTCCTTTCTCATTCTCTTTGTTCCTAGTGGCTGTGCTTTTGTGCATAACTCCGTCTACATATCAACTGTTTACTTTCTAGTTAGTTACTTTGTTTTGGATTGTTGTTGAGACTGGGTCTCACTATGTCACCTTTGCTGCCCTGGAACTCATAAAGATCCACCTGCTTCTGCCTCTGAGTGCTGGAATTAAGGACATGCACCACCACACCCAGCCCCAACTGTTTAGTTCTTGCTCCCATATGAACTTGGATTGAAGATGGTCAAATGCAAGCCAGCTGGTAGTGGCGCACACCTTTAATCCCAGAGCTTCAGAGGCAAAGGCAGACAGATCTCTGTGAGTTCAAGGCCATCCTGGTCTACAAGGTGAGTTCCAGAACAGCCAGAGCTGTTACACACAGAAACCCTGTCTCAAACACACACACACACACACACACACACACACACACACACACACACACACACACACAAAACCAAAAACAACAACAAAAAAAGATGCTGAAATATGTTCCAGAGTATTCTTTGTCCTTAAATAACTCCCTAATAACTTCCAATTAGTAAACAGTATAGACTTTTTTCCACTGAGGCAAGTAATTAAGAGGCTGTCTTAGCAACAGCCTGTTGCTATAACAAAACACTTGACCAAAAGCAACTTGGGGAAGGAAAGGTTTATTTGACTTACACTTCCAGGTCACAGTCCATCACTGAGGGAAGTCAAGGCAGGAACTCAAGAAAGCATTTGGACAGAAATCATGGAGGAAGACGGCTTGCTAACTTGCCTCTGGCAGGCTGGTCTTTCGAATGCTTACCTAGCTCCTTATATACCCCAGGACTACCTGCCCACATACGGGTCCTTCTACATCAGTTAGCAATTAGGCGGCCCCCCCCTCCCACAGACACACCCACTGGCTTATCTGGCCTGGCCAGCTCCTCCACAGAGACTCACTTTTCAGGCAGTTGTAGGCTATGCCAAGCTGACGGCGAAAGCAAACTAGGAGAAGAGCCAGGTGAGACACCTGGGTTGTAGTCAAGGGCTCGGAGGTTTACATTGGCTTCAATCTCACTTCATTGGGATAAGCATATCCTAGGTCCTGATGTGTAGGGGCTACTGGAAAGGCCAATAAGCCACTCTTTTCCAAGATTCCCTGACCCTCTGAACCCATGTATTTCCCTTAGGGGACACACTCAGGATTTAAACCATGGCACCATACAACTTCTGGTCTGAACTGTTGCTGGGAAACCAACCTTTATACCAAGTGCCTGTCCTTAATCCCAGCACTTAGGAGGCAGAGTCGGGTGGACCTCTGTGTGTCCAAGGCTAGCCTGGTCTATAGGATGAGTTCCAGGCCAGCCGCTACCATGCACATTCATGACCTTGGAAGTTCCTTCCTGTATCTTTTTTTTGGGGGGGGGGTTGTTGTTGTTGTTGTTGTTATTATTATTAAGAAAATTTTTTTTCATTCATTTTACAATACCTTCCTGTGTCTTGACTTCTCCAAAATTAACTTGCCCCTCCCCTGCTCAGGACTTGAAGCAATAACTCTGTTTTCTGAGTGTTTGTATGTATGTATGTATTCATGGGCATGTGGAAGCCAGAGGACAGCCTTGAATGTCACTCCTTAGCTGCCATGCACTTTTTTTGGTGGGGACAGGGTCTCTCACTGACTAGCTTAGGCCAGCAAGCCCAGAGACCTGCCTGTCTCCCGCTATCTAGCACTTGGATTATAATTACGCACCAACCACCACCCCTAGCATTTTCTATGTGAGTTCTGGGACTTGAATTCAAGTCCTCACTCGGGCTTACAAGGCAAGCACTTTTTCAGCAGACCTATCTCCCCAGACATCCTTATTTTTTTTATAACTCTAAGAAAAAACACATGTCTAGAATGCAACTCCCAGGGCTGGTGAGGTGGCTCAGCAGATGAAAGCTCTTGTGTCCAGCCTGCCTGCCTGAGTTTGATTCCCCAGGACCCACCTGGTAGAAGGAGAGAACCAGCTCCTTCAAGTTGTCCTCTGACCTCCACATACGTAACTCCGGTGCACATACACATACATAAATAATGTAAAACAAAATTTTTAAAGAATCCAATCAAATAGATGCCTGCAAAGAAAAGATTCGTATTTTCCTACTCTACAGTAAATGTTGTATCTGCTACCCTTCAAATGTTAATTAGCCGGGCGGTGGTGGCGCACGCCTTTAATCCCAGCACTCGGGAGGCAGAACCAGGCGGATCTCTGTGAGTTCAAGTTCCAGGAAAGGCACCAAAACTACACAGAGAAACCCTGTCTCGAAAAACCAAAAAAAAAAAAATGTTAATTAAACAAATTAAATATTAAATAAGTCAAATAGTCAACACTGTAGACATTTCCAACTGTGATTTAGAGAAACATTTTGTGGTAACTGCTTTCATGCTACACATAAAACGTCACCTAACTAGGAAGATCTTGAAATTTTCTACAAAATGTGATTTAAAAAAAAGAGTGGAATTAAATAAAAGTGAGATACATGGGCCTCAACAATAAATATGAAGGACAGAGTCCATGTTGCTTATCTTTGCTGAACTACCGGATTTTCTCTACACAGTAAACATGACCTTTGATGTGGACACAGCCCACAACAGACTCATCATCTCTGATGACCTAAGGAGTGTCTACTTTGGATCTAAGCAGCAGGACCGGAAAGAGTGTGCAGAGAGATTCCAGATCTCCACCTGCGTCCTGGGCTCCTCACGGTTCACCTCCGGCCGCCATTACTGGGAGGTAGTGGTGGGAACCAGCAAAGAATGGGATATCGGCGTTTGCAAAGAGTCAGTTAATCGACAAGTTCCTGTCCCCCTGTCGGACGAAGAGGGATTCTGGACTGTGGGTGTGAGAGACGGAGACCTCTATGCCGCCAGCACTGAACCCTTGACTGTGCTCACCGTGAACCCTCGGTTGCACAGAGTGGGGATTTTCCTTGACCTACAAGAAAAGAGCATTTCCTTTTGGGACCTTAGCGATGGTTCCCACATCTATACATTCTTTAAAATTTCTGAATCAGATGCATATCGCCCACTCTTTATTCCATCAAATTCACATCCAGATGATCAAGAAGAAATCCTCACAATCTGTCCTGTGACACATCCAGGCATTTTTGGGCCTCCAGTTAACCCCTAAACAAGGAAAATAATCCTTGAATACAAAATCTTCTATGGGAAATTGGCTGTGTACTCCTAACTATGCCTAAGAATTTTTTCGTTTAGTATATACAGGGCACAAAAGCATTGCAGAAATATATGGAGGGCATCATGGATCTTAATTAGTTAGGGAAAATTGCATTTTTAATATAAAATATTATTATTGATTTGCTTGGAATTTGTTTAAATTTCTGTTCCCATTCATATATTGTGAACTTTTAGATAAACTTGGAGTGTCTTCCTTTTTACTTGCTATAATAATGTGCTGCTTTGTGGAATAAATAAACTAAATTAAAATTTCAGATTTGACCAAGCAGGCTGATTGGTTTTCTAAAGGACAAGAAAATAAGACCTATATATCAACAGTAAAAAAAGAGAAACGCTTAGATATGCTGTTGCACCCAATAACTTTTAACATCACAAATTCATCTCACATACAAATTTAATATCCACTGGGGTAGAGATATGTTATTAAAAATGCTAATTTTTAAATTTATATGATGCACTCTAGGGGCTGGAGGGAGAGATACCTCAATGGATTATATGCTTGCCAGGCATGAGGACTTGAGTTAAATCCCCACAGCCCACATAAAAGAGATGGGGTGGTGGGGGAGACGGAGGGATGACGGCTCAGTGGTTAAGAGCACTTGCTGCTCTTCCAGAGGACTCAAGTTCAGTTTCCAGTACTCACATCAGGCAGCTCACAACTGCCTGTAGCTCCTGCTCTAGGGGATCCAGTGCCCTCTTCTGGCCTCCATACACACTTGCACACATGTGCACACGCTTACACAAACATACCACACATAGACATAAACAAAAATGACATCAATCTTGCCAGGCAGTGGTGGCACACACCTTTAAACCCAGTACTCGGGGAGGCAGAGGCAGGTGGATTTCTGTCAGTTCAAGTCCAGCCTGATCTACAAAGCGAGTTTCAGGACAGCCAGGGCTACACAGAGAAAACCTGTCTCGAAAAACCAAACAATAAAAAATATCAATCTTAAACATAGTAATGCAGCCTAAATAAATAACGGAGAGGTAGCATGAGTATGATGAGAGCAAAACACAAAATGGCCAAAAACAGGGACTCATGTCTATAACTCTAGCACTTGGAAAGATTAGCCAGGAGGACTGCAAGTTCAAGAACAGCCTGGGTTCTAGAGTGAGTTCAAGGCCAGTGTGGGCAACTTAGTGAGACCCTGTCTCAAAAGAAAAAGAGGGTTAGAAACATAGTTCAGTGAAAGAGCACTTGCCTAGTGTGGTGGTTGAATAAGCATGGCCACCATAGACTCATGTTTGAATGCTTGGCCCACAGGGAATGGCATTATTGGGAGGTGTGGCCTTGATGGAGGAAGTATGTCACTGTGGGGGCAGGATCTGAGGTCTCATCTATGTTCAAGCTACACCCAGTACACAGCCTCCTCCTGCTGCCTGCAGATCAAAATGTAGAACTCTCAGCTCCTTCTCCAGCACCATGTCTGCCTATCTGCTACCATGCTTCCCACCATGATAATGGACTAAACCTCTGAAACTGTTAGCCAGCCCCAACTAAATGTTTTCCTTTATAAGAGTTGTTGTGGTCATGGTGTCTCTTCACAGCAATAGAAACCCTAACTAAATAAACCCTAACTAACTAAATGACCTAGTAAGCATGAGACCCTATGCTCAATCCTCAGTCCCAAACAAAAAGGGAGGGCAGGGCTGGGTATACAGTTCTGTGGTGTAGCATTTGCCTAGCACTTGGAAGGTCCTCAGTTCAAATCCCAGCACTACAAAAATAAGGGGAGGGGCGGTGGGAAGGAAGGAAGGAAGGAAGGAAGGAAGGAAGGAAGGAAGGAAGGAAGGGAGGAAAAGGAAAAGAAATTCGCCAAACATAGTAGTACACACCTATAATCATAGAACTTGGAAGGTGGAGGCGGAAGAATCAGCATTTCAAAGTCATCTTTGGCAACAGAGAGAGACCAACCTAGGCTACCCTAGGGGGTCAATCTTGTGGACTGTGCTTTTTATCCCAGCACTCAGGAGGCAGAGGCAAGTGGATCTCTGTGAGTTTGAGGCCAGCCTGGTCTACATAGTGAGTTCCTGGACAGCCAGGACTACATAGAAAGACCTTGTCTTAACAAAATTTAGAGAGGGCCAGCGGGATGGCTCAGCAGGTAAAGGCGTTTGTTTCCAAGCCTGGTTACCTGAGTGTGATCCCTGGGTTCCACATGGGGGAAAAAAAACCATCCCCTCAAAGTGCCTTTGAATTACACACACACACACACACACACACACACACACACACACACACACACACACGATGGAATTTTTCATAACATCTAATTTCTAGCCCCGTAATTTCCACTTGGCTTTGTATTTGTTTTTTGTTTTTCAGTGAGAAGGGGAACCCGTCACAGTACGAATGTGGAGGTCAGATGTTGCTAGAGTTTTCCTGCCTGGCCCACAGTCAGGATAAATCTCTCTCACCTGCCAGTCCCACAGCCGCTCAGACCCAACCAAGTAAACACAGAGACTTATACTGGTTACAAACTGTATGGCCGTGGCAGGCTTCTTGCTAACTGTTCTTACAGCTTAAATTAATCCATTTCTATTAATCTATACCTTGCCACGTGGCTTGTGGCTTACCGGTACTTTACATCTTCCTCGTCCTGATGGTGGCTGGCAGTGTCTCTCTGACTCAGCCTTCCACTTCCCAGCTTTATTCTCCTCCTTGTCCCGCCTACACTTCCTGCCTAGCCAATGGCCAAACAGTATTTTATTTATTGACTAATCAGCAACACATTTGCCATACAGAACATCCCACAGCAGTCAGAGAACACCTTTGGGAGTCAGTGTCCTCCTTCTACTGTGGAGATCCCAAACTGAACCCAGGCTGTCAGGTGTGGCGGCGGCAAGTGCTTTTACCCACCGACAGGCCGCCCAAACCACCAACAGGCCACCAAAACCACCGACAGGCCGCCACAACGCAGGATAAGGTTGATGATACCCGAAGACTCGGGAGAGGGGCAAGTCTGAGGTGAGTGATGGAGAGTGAGGTATGTGAGTGTGTAAATGCATACACAACTGTGGACAATGAGGGTAACAGTGTCCATTGGCTGTAACCAAGTCCCACTGATCAGGTGGCTTGTTTAAGCACAGATGTATTTTCTCACGGTTGTGGAGGCTGAAAGTTCAGTCACATGTCAAGGCTGGTTTCTCCTGAGGCCTTTCCTTAGTTTGTTTGTGGCTGGCATCTTGTGCCCTGTGGTCTTCCCTCCATTGGCCTGTGTCCTGTTAGCATACAAAGTAATGAGTTTCATTATGACTTTTTCTTTTTGGCTTTTCGAGACAGGGTTTCTCTGTGTAGCCCTGGCTGTCCTGGAACTTGCTCTATGGACCAGGCTGGCCTTGAACTCACAGAGATCCACCTGCCTCTGCCTCCTGAGTGCTAGGATTAAGGGAGACCACTACCACCACCCGGCTCATTATAGCTTTTTAAAAAGATTTTTCATTTTTATTTGTGTATGTGCAAGAGCCCACAGAGACCAGAAAAGAACATCAGATCCCCTGGAATTAGAGTTACAAATGAGCCCAGGATGGTATCTCCTTTAATCCCAACACTTGGGAGACAGAGGCAGGCAGATCTCTTCAAGCTGGAGGTCAGTCTGGTCTACATATCGAGTTCCAGGACAGCCAGGATTGTTATACAGTGAGCCACCTGACATGGGTGCTGGGAAGTGAACTCCGGTCTTCTACAAATGCCCCTACACTGCTGAGCCAAGTCTCTTACCCCCACATTTTTTTAAGCTTTTTAGTTTGTTTTCTTTTTTTAAGTGGGTGTGCTTACACACTGCACACATGTGTGTGCTACGATGAACATTTGGAGGTCTGCAGACACCTGTAAGTTCTCTCCCCCCACCATGTGGGTTCTGGGGACCAAGCTCAGGTCATCAGGCTTACAGCAAGTACTTTAACCTGCCATACCATGGATCTGGCCCTCACTATGACATTTTCACATATACTTTTTGTTGATTCCCCTTCTTCAATCCACTACCCCAACTCCTTGTCTCTGCTCCTATTGGCACCCCCCAATGGTGTCCTGATGTCTTTTTTCCCCCCCAGAGCTAGCACTCTACCACTGAGCTAAATCTCCAACCCCCCCCCCCATGTCTTTTAATGAGGACACGTCACCTAAAGGATTCGAACACACTGTAACAGCCTGGTGTCACCTTAATCGTCCTGTCTCCAAATACATCCATGCCCTGAGGCACTGAGGATTCGGACTTCAATACTGGATTCAATATTGGCTTTGGGGGAAGACTAGTCTGCTACGGTGAGTGCTCATACGTGTTGAGACATATATCTACCTCGTGAGTCTATCAGAGGGGATGGAAGAGTAAGGACCAGCATGCACGTGTCCGGCTTGGAGCAGAGTGCACAAGACTGTAGGACGCAGTGACCTCTGTGACAACAGGAGGCAGAGGAAAGGCGCGTCAGCAAAGGGAGTTCCTGTCTGAGTATGTGACTCCCAACAAACCCTTGCCTGGGCCAGCCCCTGAACCGGCATGATCTCTGGCGCCCCCTGCTGCACAAAAAAGCCAAAACTCAATCCAACGCAGTAACTGCTTACTCCGGAGGTACTGAGGTTTAAATTTCCTGAGATTCAGTAGGAATGAGCCCGGGACTCTGAGGGACTAATACCCAGGACAAATGATGCCACTTTCTCTCAGTTGTGGATCTGAAGCTTTAGATGTAAGTATACAACGAGGAGCAACTGCAGAAACCAGCAAATGAAAGAGACCACGGGAGAGCGGAGCTCTACGAAGGACACAGGAGACGGCCCACATGACGAGTGTCAGGAGAGTAGAGAGATGGTGTCTCCCAAAATACAGCTATCGCTCCTGCCCTTGGTTGCCTCCCAGGGTCTAATAGCAACTCTAGCTAAAGTTTAGCTCCTGTAAAGAATTAGTTTTTTGTTTTGTGGTAGTTTGGGTTTGG